ATGTATGTATAAAGTCCAGGCTGATCCAACACACTTGTTAGGTATTTGAAATTTAGCAGTATAGATGTACAAAGTGTGTATGTGCTTATGAACATTTATATATATTAAGTAACAAATATACAGAAAAACATTGATTTCTAGTACTTACAATGTTAGGAAATTGATTTGCACTTTTGCATTGTACTGGCTAAGCCTCCTTTATTCTATCAAGTGGAGGAGGAAGACAAATAAATTTCTGAAGATTTCACAGGGGCATTTTAGAAAATGTGCAAATGGTGAATAAGTCTGAATCTCAATTAGATCATTATTAATCAATAAACTAGACCAATCCCTTTCAATGAATAGGGTTTTCATACTAATCTTCTGAATTAATAAACTTGTGTGTTATAAGACATGATGACCTATTCTTCAGGGCAATCCATTAATAAATGCGTAACATCTGCTTTAACTGGTTATGTTTAGGGCTTTCAAAATGTGCACTATACTTAAACAATAGACTTGAAATCAAGGAAAATGGCAGAAGACCATAGGAAACTCAGGCCACATGTCGAACACACTGACTAAAATCAACTGTAAAAGAAAAATTTCTTTGGTTCCTGAATCAAAAGAACATAAAATAAAATTCAGCTGATATTCGAAACAACTGATTGCATAATCATAAAATTAAAAATTTCATATAAATTACATATCTGAGGATGTGGATTTTAAAAACTTCTTGTCCAATCAATACAATGCCATTGGCAGCTCAATTTTGATTGGAATGGCATATGCCTTGTTTTTTTGCATCATGGGGTTCTTCACCTATACCCACACAGATATATTTTTTATGGTTCTTAAGGTTCAGTAATTAGGAATTTTACATTCACATCAGGTAAAATATCCCATGTGTGATGATATAAAAGAAGTTGGTTTAAATATTAGGGATTAATTTATATTTGTGAGTGAATATTTTTGTTCTAATAATAGTTAAAAGCAGACAATTGTAGAAGATTTTGTTAATGTAGAAAGTGCCAGATTACTATGTAATAAAGATATAAATAGCATGAGACGAGCAGGACGTAGTAGACAGACAACAATAGACAGATAATAGGAAAAGAGAATATAGCTGTGTGAAGTTAAGTACCATAGATGTGATAGGCCTAACGATTGACATAGGCCTAACGTTTAATATGTTAGTGAAACTAATGGTATTAAAAAAAAAGATAAGAAGGATAATTTTATTCCATCAAAACGTGGATCTAAAGTAATTGAATCAGCCTGGGTAACTTCTCAGAAAAGAAACAGAGGAGCTTCTTGGTTTGCTCTTATGTATGCTATACTTAAGTTATATAAATCATTTGAAAACACATTTTGCACATAATCTTTAAAGGAAAAATAGCAAAATCCAGTATTATCCCAAAATGTTATTTAAAAACACCTCATAAAAAAAACTATTATTCAAAAATTCAATGATTTCAATATGTATACTTATACAGGTATTCTTTTACAATTTGTCACTTAATACTAATTATTAACTACAAATAACTAGCAATCATTGTTACAGAATGCGTCTACTTTGAAAAAAAAAAGTTCCTATATGTTTCTGGTACAGGCATCTTGCAACATACTTATTCGATATACAATCTAATTTTAGGTTTATGCCTTTATCAAGAACACAGGACCACACATCCATTAAGAAAATGCACCACTTTGTAAAATATATATCATTATATAAAATGAAATACCAAAAGTGCTGTTACCTATTCTTTCAGAAGCTCAAAGTTTGAAAAACATCAATATCATTACATCTATAATTAAAAAAAATTGCCAAATGTGGACACAAACTACCTCTACTCTCCAAAAGTTCAGTCACTGAA